ATATACATATATATACACATATATATATATATACACATATATATATATATACACATATATATATATATACACATATATATATATATACATATATACATATATACATATAGACAGAGGAGTTGCTAAATAATATCAGTGAAATGGCCTGTTCCCAGTGAGAAAGAACATTCGCTGGTGCCTTAAGCTGAAGTTCTCTGATGATTGATAAGTGTTTCAAAACAGACTTCCCAGAAATATAAATGACTAGCTGCCCTGCCACCATGCTGGCTAATGTCCCCCTTGACATGCACATAGGCTGACAGACAGAAAGACGGACTGATGGCTGACTGACAGACTGACACACATACTGCCACCAAGATTCTATGAAGGGGAAACTGAATTAATTGGTTTTTCCTTCTGTGGATAAGTCTTTAGAGTGGTGTGTATGTGGCGATAATGGTAGGTTGCACTGACAGGCAGGTTATTTAATAAATCCTGGGATGTGTAAGGCTGAAAGAAAGGACACACACAAAACAGAGAGAACCACTTTCTTTTTTTTGCTCTGTATCTTGTCTGCCATAGCCCCAAGTATCAACCTCTGATGTTCTTTTTTTTTTGTGCCGAAGGCACTCAAACGCGCTCGTACGCACACATATGTACGTGCACACGTATACGCACACGCAGCCCTAATCACGCACCCACATAAATACACTTAATCGCTGACACACTCACGCATGGCAAGAGCAGTACTGCTAACACATCCAAGCATGCACAAGTAGGCTATAAAAGCACACACAGAAACATGCACAAGATCTCGCTCAATCAGTCTGATTTGTTTGTTTCCTCCTAAGCATTTGAGGATTCCTCAAGGAGGGAAAAAACTTTGTATAATCAAGTCAATTATGTCATTCAATCAAGTCGAAAATCATTTCGAGCCCTTTCTCACATCCATTGATTGCAAAGTCGTGCTGAATATTTGCTTGCTGCGTTCTATTGTGCAAATAAGCCATCTTTATTTGGAATGGCAGGCCAGGCCACGGTGAGGTCTTCGATGCCACTTCCAACTGAAAAAAAGGGAGCAAAACAAAGTCCTTCACCTTGCTCACTGTCAGTCAAGAAACTAACAGTGGGCTTCATAGGGGAGAGCTGGTTGCATATTGTCTCTGAACAAGAAAAAAAATGCAGTTTCTATTAATTTCTAAGGCCTCTTTTGTCTCCGTCAGTACCGCGGTACATTATGTGCCCATGAAAAATCCATCCTCACTAAAATTGTTTAAACTCAAGGTCAAGTGCTGATGTTACAGGGACTGTATCAGCTGAAGGTGACCTTGACTGATGTGGATTATGACATGAGGGAAATGGATCTCTGCTCAGTGTGGGGAAATTATCTGTGAAATGCTGCCACTGTATCAAAGACTGTTTGTGTGTGTGTGTGTGTGTGTGTGTGTGTGTGTGTGTGTGTGTGTGTGTGTGTGTGTAGCTGTTGTTGTTTCTGATTCAGCTGAAGGTGTGTGTGTGGTGCACGCGCGCGGCAGCGCATCTTTTAGAGTCAGCATGTGAGAGCGCTATATATATGTCCTTGTATAGATGGGTGTGCATATATGCCTCACTCATGGGTGGGGGGATTTGCGTGTGAGAACAGCACGAAGCAGCAGCATAAAGAAACAGACAGCTAAATACAAGGCTGTGCCAATGCCGTCACAGTAGCCCGTTGAAACTTTATTTCCAATCCTGAGTTGTATTGGATTCTTATGTTATGCTATCACAGATAAAAAGAAAACATTATTTGTTTTTGTTCGGAGGTTTTTTTCCCTCTTTGTAGGGTGGTTTGGTCATGGCAGCTGGTTGTCACTGCTTGTTTGCTCTGTACGTAAAATACATGTTGCTGACCAGCCATGGTGCACTGCGTGAAGCTACTATATCTTCAGATGTTTGCCTGTCGAAACACATATTCATTTGTTCAACTGTAAAGATAAAGGGAAAAACCTGCCCTGCTGATTCCTCTTAAGGCTCAACGTTTGAGATAGCTATAAAGACTGAGATGCTGGTCAAGAGGTCAAAGTTACACCGGACTTAATCCAACATTTAATGGGAATTGAGAAGCGTTAAAGTGCGGGCTATTGTGACAACACCACGCGCGGTGATAAGAAAAAACAAGTCTTACCTTCCCAAACTGTTCAAAATACTGCTTCACGTCTTCCACTACTGTATTGGCTGACAAGCCACCCACAAATATTTTCTTTGTTCTTGTGACCATCTGGAAGGAAAAAGGGTGACAGGAGATGATTAGTGACAAAGATTCAAATGCTTTGTGCAACACCTTTAATGAGACTTCATACACAGTAAGTGAGCAGCACCTGGGTTGGAGGATGTAACAGAGCAAAGACAGTGTGATGCTAAACAGGAATACATGCATTCACACAACGATTAAAAAAAGTAGCACCAGTAAGATCACAAACACTTGAGCTTTTAGAAGGAAAAACAAAAATATTTTAGTCATGTGCCTTTTCTGCACAATTGCTTTTCGGACGGACGCGCAAATCAAATCAGATTGTGAGAGAATTTAAAATTTCATCCATTTCATCCTTAAAAGTTTGTTTATCTTACCAAAAATAAATAAATAAATAATTTATGGACTTTCAAAAAAAAAGAAAAAAAGAAAAACAATTAATGAGAGCTAGGAGATGGAATCAGAGTGCATTAAAGCCTCATTTAGCTTCAAACAGCGAGAATATTAAGGATTATTACCCACAGTATCAAAAAGGGCACAAACATCTGCTGCCGACTACATGCTAAATTTAGGAAGACAATTTAAGAGGGAAACACGGCAACAATTCAACATCAGCATGAGTGTAAAATCTTTTTTTTTTTTCACGCACACAAGGCTGCACCAATTAAAAATTAGCTGGTAAACTAAATGAAGTGATATTTATGTAGCAATATTTCTCAACACACCAAGTGTTTTCATAAACTCACAACCCCTTAACATCTAACAAATTAAACCGTATTAAAGGGTCTGTGTTATTTGTATTTTTTCTTTTAAGTGCAGGATATGATGTTATTATGATTAATGCTTTGGCCTCATCTGACTCTGCAATGAGAGGCTGCCTCTAACACTGTAGGGAGAAGGACTTTCACCTCAGACTGTTTCAGTGGTGATCACATTGCAGCTTATTATCTGATCCAGTCCTCGCTAGTAGCTCTACCTTTTAATGGTACAAAGAGAATGCTAAACGTATTTTTATTATGATCATGAAAATTCGCAATTATGCTGGTTATGGCATTAGTGAGGTCAATTAATCATCAACTTTGGAAACATCACTTGTTAATCTATCTATTGCCAAATGCGGTAGCACAGTGTTGATCGAGCTCTATGGCCCACTGCTGAGAGTAATGCAATATTTATCAATGCACGGTATTATCACCCATGTCTGTGGTGACTTTCCCAGAAGAAAAAAAGGAAAAAAAAAAGAAGCTGTATTTAGTTGCTGCTAATGCGATCAGAACATTTCCTTCTGCTGCAGCTTCACATTAAAAGCATCTACAGTAAGTGGCGAAACACAAATGGCCTTTTTTATGAAGTAGTCACCGCAAATGTAGTGTCTATCAGTGAGTGTTGCACTAAAGGCTATCATTCATCAAATATGCATCGACAAAACAAGACAGTGGTCATTTTCAGCATCTTCCCGCAGTTTGAAATACGGCAGGCGCTAATGGAACAAAGAAGGAGCAGCCACAGTGAGCTGCAGGCACCAGGCTGCACATCCTCAACTACTGACAGAGATAAGCCACGTTCCCTTTCGCTGTGCCCTACTATGTCCACAGTTATGCTACGTAAGACATAGTTTATGGGAAAAAATACATGTGTTGCTTGACTTGAAATTACAAGGGTTTTGTATGATGCCTCCTACTTTCTGAAACCAGTATAATTAAACCATGTTGGTCAGGAGTCACATCTAATTATACTCACTGGCCACTTTATTAGGTATAACCGCTAATTGCTCATTAATGCAACTATTTCATCAGCTAATCACATGGCAGCAGCTCAGTGAATTTAGCCATGTAGACAAGATCATTATGACCTGTTTACTTCAAACTGAGCATCAGAATGGGCAAGAAAGGTGATTTAAATGTCTTTGAATGTGGCATGGTTGTTGGTGCCAGATGGGAAACAACCAGACTTTATAGAGAATGGGTAAAAAAAAAAAAAAACAGAGACTAGCAAGTGATCAGTAGTTCAGAAAAGAATTGCCAGACTGCTTCAAGCTAATAGGAAGGCAACAGTAACTCAAGTAACCCCTAGTTACAACCGAGGTATGCAGAAGAGCATCTCTGATCACACAGCCTGTGAAATGGGCTACAGCAACAGAAGACCACACTGGGTGCCACTCCTGTCAGCTAATAAAAGGAAACGGAGGCTACAGTTCCCACCGTTCCCCAACAGTGCACAGCAGAAAACTGGAAAAAATGTTGTCTGATCTGATGAGTCTCGATTTCTGCTGTGATGCTAAGACGGCAGGATCACAATTTGGCTAACAACTAAACAAGATGAAAACATCCCAACTTGTATCAAAGGGTCAGGCTACTAGTGGTATAAAGGTGTGGGGGATATTTACTTGGCACATTTTGGGCCCCTTAGTGTAAACTGATCATGGTTTAAACCCCAAAACCTGCTGCTTATCATGTCCATTCTTGTAAGACTTGGCTTAATTTGCTCATATTCAGCTGATTTTCATCTCGAACTGGTTACCTGAACCTGACAGTGAGTTCACTGTACTCAAATGGCTTTCACAGTCACCCGATCTCAATCTAATAGAGCACCTTCAGGATATAATAGAACAGGAGATTTGCGTCATAGATGTGGAGCTGACAAATCTGTATTGCGTGACGCTATCATATACACAAACTAACCATGCCTTTACAATGTGTACTCCACACACAGTTTGGGCTTCTAGTGAGGGGCAAAAGTCCCCAACAGAACACAAGACAAAAATAGAGAGTCATTCGGAAATAGAATTTGCCAATAATACAATTGTAAATCAATTATCTTGTTAGGAATCCAAAGTCTGAGCTAAAAATATTTATAAACTGCCCTACATTACCTATGTGAAGAGGAAGAATGACGAGCTAGTGGAATGAAAGTCTGACCTAATTTTGGAACAAATAGGGACACATTGAGAAGAAAAGTTGAGCCCTTGACCCCAGAGTGAAAGGATCCAGTGGCTCTGGTTTGGAGGAAAGGATCACTGCAATTAAATACAAACTATCCATCCATCCTCTTTTCTGTCCCAAGGCAATAAAGAGTTTTTCTGTTTTGACATGTATGATGATGTTGGAAATCCTGCCGTGAAATTGCAGTACCTTCTTCTGCTTCTTCACCCAAACAACAGTCAGTGTTTTTCCTTATTCTTGAACATAGGGCATAGATTTTTGAACAGGTGCTGTCAACCACCACGATCAAAACCCAAAATGAAGGAATATGTTTTGGAAAAACTGTGCTCAAGCCCTCCGGTAGAGCTCCAGAGATTGGAGAATCAATACCAAAGCACACTGAAGCTGTTCTCTTTGTATATGCTGGCCCAACACCTTACTAAGACATGGTAGGTTTTTACTTTAACTTATGATGCATCTTATAAGGTCAGCTTGTTTTTCTTGTACCAGTTTGGCCTGTGCAAACAGAGAAAGAACAAGATTACTGTACTTTGAAGAAGACCACATTAACCCAAACAAAATATTTACTGTCTCTGTAAAGTACTAAACCCATTCTACAGATTGAAAACGCGCTGATACGATGTGGTATATAATGATTTTTGATGCACCGCTCTGTAATCTAACTGGCAAAACAAACAAATTTAAAAAAAAAAAAAAAAGAGGCAGAAAACGCAGTGGAGAAAGTCACGGCTCTGATCTCTCTCGGCTCGCCTAAATCAAACAAAAATAAATGATGGGGGCTGGATAAACATACTCTGGAGATGCCCGGCAAACAATCAAGAAAGCTGAAAGAGTCTACCTTGATCAAAATGCTGACCGAAACACTTTCCATCTATGAAAGAGGCTTAACACTGAGAAAAAAAGAAGCGACATTCAACTAGAGCTGAAGAACCATCTGTCAAGTGCTTTCCAGGTGCACACAGTCTCACAGGCACATAGCCTGCACATATGCACACAGCCTCCCACACATGGGTCCTCTCCTACAGTTAGTTTCTTTTTCATGAATTTTGCGCAAGTGATTTTTAAAAAATATATTGTTTTATCATACAACTCAATTAATCCAACTACAAAACAAAAAAAGGGAAAAGAAATGAAATAATTTCCCAGTTTTAACTCTAGTTTAAAGGTGAAGAAGGGAAAAGAGCTCAGCGCACAGCATCTTCTTTAGGCCTGGGGATGCCGCCAAGATGAACAAATAACCAGAAAAAAAGTAACCACGAGAGGCCGGGGCTGACACTGCACGCTCAACCAGTAAAAATGTAATCAGCGATGTTTTATTACACTGACAAGAGCAACGAGTCTCACTCAGCGCTTCATCAACTTCATGAGAATGTGCAATGGGCCACAGGTTTAAATATGCAAACACAGCTTGTGTAGTAATTAGTGATGGCACACAGGTGTCTAAATACTCTTGACCATCAATATTGCTGCAGATATCAGCCTGAACAATTCATAGAAAAACAAACAAATCAGTAAATCCAGTGTCTGACATGCTATAAAGCGAAATCTGAGTTCATCTGTGTGAGTTAAATCATCGTAAGTCAAGCTTTCCAAGATGGTATCTCTGTTAGTCCTTAGGTTAAATTGCTATTAGAAGGTTCACGTGGTAAAGAGGTAGTACCAGCCAAATTATGAATACTAACATGCAGTGTCACCTAATGTCAACGTGGCAATGATAATCTCAAAGCACACCTGAGGATGAGAGAGTACAGCTTAGACTGAAGAAAGCCGAGTCAAGTCTAGCATTACAAAGCCGAGCCTGACAAGCTGAGTCTGAGATGTCACCAGATCAGAGTAAAGGTAAAGATGCCACTCTTTTCTGGTGGGTTTTCCCTCGTGGTGATGAGAATATAAGAGTTGTTTTCTTTCCCTGCTTTCATTTAATACTTCTATTTGCTGCTCTGTAAAAACCTTTACAGGCTCTCAGTGAAGCTTGATGATGTTTCTTATTCACTGATTTGCAGCCCTTGACTACTGGCGGACATGCAAAGTATCAACTGACTAAATTAGGGTTATTCACTGGCCAAAACCCAGCAGCTGCATCAT